CTCTAACCCAGCCTGGCCCCTCTGACCCTCTAACCCAGCCTGGCCCCTCTGACCCTCTCTAACCCAGCCTGGCCCCTCTGACCCTCTAACCCAGCCTGGCCCCTCTGACCCTCTAACCCAGCCTGGCCCCTCTGACCCTCTCTAACCCAGCCTGGCCCCTCTGACCCTCTAACCCAGCCAGGCCCCTCTGACCCTCTAACCCAGCCTGGCCCCTCTGACCCCTCGGTTCCTAGCCTTCCCACTCTCACTCTTTATCTTGCCTCTCCCGCTCTGCTCCCAGCCTCCCTAGATCCTTTAATCCCTGTCACCACCAGGTGCCCAGCTGTTCCCCCGCCCACCCCGGGGGGCCGGCACGCACCTGCAGGAGCAGGTCCTGGGACGTGGGTCCAGCGGCCCGCAGCGTCTCCTCCGGCCCCGCGGCGCGGGTGTAGACCACGCGGGTGCCCGCCGCCTCGTAGGTCCCGGGCGCGCTGACCTCCCAGTTGCCGTTGAGCACGTAGCGCCCGTCGCCCCCGATCAGCGCTGCAGGGAAGGGTCGGCCTAGGCTCCGGAACCCTCCCGCCACCTCCCGACCCTGCCGTTCCCCTCCTCTGGCCTCCAGTCTCCGGGCTTCAGCCGGGCGGCCAGCAGGGCCCTCCCCCCTCGGAGTCCGCGATACCCAGGTGGTTTCGGCTCCGATGGGCGGCGTAGATATGTCTGGCGCCCTCGGGGATCAGGGTCACGTTCCAGTATCCGGCGAAGGCTCCTGGGTGGGAGGGAAGAAGGGTGTTGGGGTACGTGTGGCGGTTTATTTGAGGGGTGCTTTGGGGATTAAATGAGATACTGAGGCTAAGATGATTAGCCTTGGTACTGGTAGCCTCAAAACGCTCCGTAAACGTTTGGAGTTACGATCGTTATCGTTCAAGTGGGGCAGGGAAAGAGTTAGAGCCCGATTAGTTCTGGGAAGGGCGGGACAATCTAGCGGTGACCAATCAGAATGATGAACGACAGGGGCTGTGCCTCAGATTGTCCAATCATCGTGGGACTTCACTTCCGCGCCAGGGGCTTCTTAAAGGGCGGGCCGGGGAGCGAGGAAGGGGCGAGCGGTCACCGGTGTCGCGGAACACGCGCTGCACGAAGAGGCACGAGTCGTTGGAGCCGCCGCAGCGGCCGCAGTGGTCCTCGCGGGCGTCCGAGCCCATCAAACCGTCACAGCCGGCTCTCTAAAGGGGTGGGGAGGACACTTGTCCTAGAGAGGCCCCTGCCCCACCCCGGGCCTCGGCCTGACACAGGGGCCGGGCTCTCGGAGCTAGGAGGCGGGGCCTAGAGACGGCGTTGGGGCCCTGAGGTAAACGACATGGGACCTGGGCGTAAGAGGGTGGGTCCAAAAGGAGGAGCCTGCTGTGGGGCCTAAGGAGGGGTGCGGCCAGTGGAAGAGGGAGGGACTAGGAACAAAAGGAACGGGGACCTGGTTGGGACCTGGGAGTAAAAGGGTGGGCCCTGGAGAGAAGCTTGGGGTGGGACCTGTGGAGGGGCGTGGCCCAGTGGGAGGGACGAGGCCAGGAGAGGGAGGGACCTAGACCTAAATGAACGTCGTCTGGGGGCGGGTCCTGAATGGTAAGTGGGCGGGGCGGGTCCTGGCGAGTCCTTACCAGGCAGCGGCCAGCCACGCAGAGTCCCTGGCTGCCCCAGCTGCAGGGAGTGCCGTCCAGGACACGGCCAAAGCTGTGGTAAAAGGCATGGCCCACAGCCAAGCAGTTGAGGTCGCACTGGTTAGGCGCTGGGGGCAGAAGGACAGAGTGGACCAGGAGTCGTCTATCCCAGTTACAGCCCCATTCCCTCCAGGCTCTCCCAGAAAGCCATCCTCTTGGGCAGATGAGGCCCAGAGACTCAGTCAAAACCGCACATGGAGGTTGAAGCAGAGCCATCACTGGGCTTAGGTGTTCTGCCTCCAGCTACCTGGGACTCTCCCAGGCAAGTATCCTTGGCCTGCATGCGTGCATGCATTCATTCCATACAAATACTCATTGAACAGCTACTATTTTCCAGACATAGTTCTAGGCTCAGCGTTGAGCAGAACTGCACCCAGCAGGTGCCCAATAAGTGTTTGTTCAGTGCTGACTGGGTCCCATGTAGCCTGGGTGTGTCTTTGGCCCTCTCCAGGACTCAGTTTCCACCTCTGCTTGGCAGTGGGGCACAATGGGCAGTCCACTCATGCTCTCCGGCCCATAGCCCTGATTCCTTCTCCTCCCACTCAAGCTCCCACTTCCCCGAGCTTGGCTGGCTGGCCCTGCCTGGAACGGAGCCCAAGCTGGTCCTGGTGGGCCAATTCTTAGGGCTTAGAGGGGAAAAAACCATGAGGTTTACGAATGGAACTTTCTTCATTCTAGACTTTTCTTATCTGTGTGTGCCCTCTCTGTGATATCTGAAGCTGTCTGTCTCCCTTAAACCTGGAGGCATGTTGCCCCAGGCACAGTTATATAACTCGCTATTTTCAGCTCATACAGGCAACATTTCCTGCTACCAGGATAAGTTTGAGAACTGATGGCCTCTGGATACAGCCCTGAGTAAATCCTCAGCCTGGTGTTCAATCCTGTGCAGAATAGACCCTGCCTCCCTCTGCCTCATACCTCACACGTGATTTTTTTCCTTCCCTTCGCCAACTCCTACATATCCTTCAAAGCCCAAGTGTTATGCCTACTTCTCCTTACAACCCTCCAAGTTGCTCTTCCTTCTTAGCAGCCACTTCTCCCTGACAGCTGAGTTGTTTCCTCTGGACCAACAGTAGGGGAGGCTACTCACCACCATAGAAGGGCACCCATTGGTAAGTCTTCTGGGGGCCTAGGACAGGGTGGCCATTGTAGAGGGCACACTGGAGGTCTCGGAAGGGCATGGCCCCTGGAGGACAGTCCTGGGACAGAGATGGGTGGGTCAGGGGCTGGGACAGCCTGAGAGTGGGCAGAAAAACTGCCAGGGTGGCAAACATATTTGGGGGCATGAGTAGGGAAGTAGAAGAACTTCAGGACAGACTCGAGAGTCTTGGAGGTGGACAGAACCTACCGGCAACTGGCAAAGGCGGTACTCATGGGAGTCCCCCCAGCACAGCTCTTCCCTGGGAAACCTATGAGGAGCAGGGCATCCAGAGTATGGTCAGGTACCCCAGTAACCCCCACCCCAGAGTACGCCTGCACCCTCCCACCAACCCCCACCATCAACCCTGCGCACATTCCAGGTAAATCAGTGGGATTAAAAGGCACAGCACGTGTGGTCAGACCAAAGGTGTGGTCAGGGGCTGGTCCTGTCTGGCAGGAGAGGAGGGCCAGGATCTCCCTTGCACCTGCTCAGCCAAGCCCCAGCATTGTGCTCCCTGCTCACCGGATGCAGTGCCGACTTCGTACGGAGAGCCCCTGCCCACAGGAGCTGGAACAGCGGCTCCAGGAACCCCATGGTGTCCACTCTCCTGGACCCTATGTGGAGAGAGAAAAGTACTGTCAACCTGGAGGGGAGGTTGGCAACCCCCACATGGCTACTGGGTCCCCATGCCCAATGACCCCTGAGCTCATTTCCCCCCTTACCTGAGCACTGCCCCCCAAACCACAGTTCAGGAGGGTCCACAGAAGGAGCAGAAGGTTCCAGAGGGGGTGGGGTCTGGGGAAGCAGAGGGGGTCATTGTAGTGGAGGCGTCAGCAGGCCAGGGGTTGAACCCCAGCTCTGCCCTGACTGTGATTTGGGGCAGTAACTTAACCTCTCTGAGCCTCCCCTTCTCATCTCTGAAAAATGTGGTGCTATATTATCACCACAGTAAAGTTTTGAGGGGTCCTTCAGGTAAGAAAAACGGGAGGCACAGAGCCTGGAATGGAGATGAAGAGCTCAAATTATTATTATTACTATTATTATTATTATTGTTATTATTGTTATTGGTTGTTTACTGTCTTATCATGCACATAGTAGGTGTCTAATGATAGCATAAATCATTCCAGGGCAGTGCACAAGTGTCTCTAGGGTCAGGGCTCCTCACTGCTCTCTCCACCATCATTACTTCTACTTTGCTGTGTGGCCAGGGGCCAGCCACTCTCCTTCCCTAGGTCTCAGTTTCCCCATCTGTGCACTGGAGACCAGTTGGGGTCAGTCCAGGACTCTGAGACCTTGCAGAGGATGCAGCCAGTGGGGGCTGGGTCAGGGACCAGGTCCCTCCAGAGTTGCCTCTGATCCCAAACCCTCTGCAGCAGGTGTCCCCATATTGGGGAGGGGCAGGGAGGAGTGACCTGACCCTGGACCAGCCAGTGCCTTGTGGCCTCATAAGCAGAGGGTGTGGGATGGAGCGCCAGGATGTTATGTGAAGGGAAAGGGGCCCCTGATGAGGATGATGCAGAAAATAGGGAGACAGCTGCGCTGGGGTGACTGGGCTGACAATTTTGCCTACCCAGGCCTCAGTTTTCCCATCTGTCAGGAGAAAAATAAAGCCACTTGCCATTCACACCCTCTGCATGACTGACATTGGCAGAGAAAGCAGGAGGGAATGGCCACCTTGTGAGTCCTTATTTGGGCCAGAGCCAGGGAGCCCAGCAGTCAACAGTACCCAAAGAACACCCAGGACAAACAAGTCCTCCACCTCCTGAGCTCCTGGGCACTGGGTGGGGGGAGGCTGGACCTCGCTAGATCCATGGCCCCTCTTGAGCCTCAGTTTCCCTGTATCTCAGGCCCTCCTGGGGCACCAACAGTCTGGTGCTGAGGTGGCTCCAGGCACTGAACACCTGGAACACCACCAGGTGGGCCCCCCCCCCTCTGACCAGGGTTGTGCTGCCAGTTGCATCTTAGCCCCTCTCTGAACACAGGGCCCTGGCTAGCCCAGGAAGCAGGAAATTCGGAGGGAAGAGTAAAGATAAGGGAGGGAGTTTGGTCTTCCGACACCCACTCCTGACTCAGCACTGAGGTGGGAATCTAGGTAATGGAAAATAAGGGGCTAAAAGGACCACCCTCCCACTCCCCAGAGCCCCCTCCGCAAAGATCAGGACACTTATACCTGGTTTTGGCTGAACTGACTGTGGACGTGATCTCAGGGCAAACCACGCCTCTGGGCCTCAGTTTCCCCAGGAAGAAGTGGGGATGAACTTTCTCTCACCCTGGAGATTGCTGCCTCACCGCCACTCTTTCCCCCCCACCGTTCCTACCGGACCCAGGAGATGCGGCCCGGGATGGGGGGCGGGCATAGGAAGAGGGGCTTACCGGCGACATAGAGCTCTGGCGGTGCGTCCTGGCTCTCCGGACCGCTCCAGGACGAGCGGAAGCGGCGGGGCCCGCGGGGAGGAGCGGGGGGATCCCAGGGCCGCCGCTTCCACCCTGCCTCCCAGGGCGCGCCCGAGCCGGGGTCCAGAGGGGTGGCGGCCCCGTGCGCCCTCACGCGGCTGTGCAGCGCTTCCGCGCAGACCCGAGACAGCGGACTGCCCGGCACCGGCCCGAACACCCCAGCACTGCCGTCTGGTGTCTGAGAGTCCATGTCCCGGTGACCTTGGGAAGCCCAGGGCGGGAGAGCCGCGAGGGTACTGGCCGTCCTTACCCTCACCCTGGGGCTGCTATTCCGGGCGCCGCGCTCAGGGCCAGGGAATGCGCTCGAACCGAGCTCGCCCTACCCCGGTTCCGGGCGTCCCGGACCCTGCCCCCTCTCCACAGACGCAGATCGCGTCCCCACGACGGTCCCCTTTCCCGCTCACTACCCCCTTCTCCGGTCCTTCCCTCAAGGCCAGCCTACTCAGGAACTCGCGCGCCTGAGTTCCGATCTTGGGGTTCCCGAACCAGGTCCTGACCACCCCAAGTGCAGGGCCCCAGCGTACTGGGAGAAGCTCAGCCCCAGGGATTGGGCGTGAGGGGCGGGCGGAGAGCCCACTCCCGGCCGGCGCATTTCCGGGCGCTGCTGTCACCAGAAGACGCACCCCACCCCGCCTCTCGCCCTCCCTGCCAGCCCCGGGACTGCGAGTGGCGGCTTTGACGCCAGACTCGAGTCCAGAGGTCCCAATTCTGCGTGGCCGTGTCCCCACCCTTTCCGACCTCAATTTCCCCATTCGGACGAGGGGGCCACCTCGACCCTTTCAGCTAGACTTCAGCTCTTTGCTCGGACTGGCGAGATCGGGGTTACTCTAGGGCTCCCACCACCGCACCCTTTCCAGGGTGCCGCCTTCCCCCGCCCACACAAGGACGCCGCGAGCGTCCTCTGCTCGCCCCTCCCCCAGCTCCTCACTGTCACCCGCGGTGCTCCCTGGTAGGTGGGTTGAGGAGATGGGGCATCAAGGGCGCAATGGGTCGACTGCTCCTCTGCCCCCAGGCTAGGTAGGCCAGGCTCAGCTTGACTGCCTCCGCCTCCCGGAAGCGCACCCTGGGTCTCCCAGCCCTGACCACAGGGAGAGGGGTTGCCAGTCTGCACTCCAGCAGCCTGGAGCAGCTGAGAACAGAGCCACGCAGTGTCATTTATTTCTTCAACGTTTATTGAGGACCTACTATGTGCCAATACATTGGTGAACCACCCAATGTATTTTACCTACATCCTGGGTAGGTAAAATCTCACCTTGTGATCAGGTGCTCAGAGGAGACAGCCCAGGCCCACTGCAGATGTGGGGAATATCAGGAAGGCCCTCACCGAGGAAATGACTGCTATAGGAGGTGAGGGGAAGGGCAGCCCAGGCACAGGGCACAGCCAGTGCAAAGGCCTTGAGGCTGGACTAAGAATACAATTAGGAGGTGGAGTGTGTGGAGCAAGTGGCTTGAGTGGGGGAGGGGATGAGGTCAGAGGCAGGAACGGAGCCTTGGGAGGTGGAAGAAGGTGTTCTAGTTTTGGAAAAACCATCCCTGGGGGAAAGAGTAGGGGCCAGGAACATGGTGACAGGCAGCAGCGGGTGTTCTGGGCAGGGACTGAGCCAGGGTGTGGGTGGAGGTGAGAGCAGTGGGTGGCTTCCAGCTGTTTGGGAGCCCAGTGTGCAGGAGTTGCTGATGGATCCCATGAGGGAAGTGTTGGGAAGGTGTGAGGCAGAATCTTGGCCTGAGTGGCTGGTGAAAGAAGGTGCCCCATATACTTCAAGGGGCAGGCTGAGGGGAGAGGATGAGTCCAGTGGTCACTTCTGAATGGCTCTGTGGTGAGATGTCTGTGGGTTACCAAGAAGAGGCTGGGAGTCCAGGGGTCATGTTTGGGTGTAGGTGGACACATGGGTATCCTAGGCACATGGGAGTGTTTAATGTCATGGATGAGGTCACAGAGTGTGAGTGTGGATAGAAAGGGGCAGGGGGTGGAGAACAGGTGGGTGTGGGGTCCCAGAGGCCACACAGGGCTTCTGGGAGAAGAAAGGTACAGCCTGTGTGGGCAAGAAGAGGATGTGGACCAGTGGACCAATGAATTGGCATCGGTGGAGGCAGTTGTGACCTTAATGAGGTTAAGGATGGTTGGACAGGTTGGAGAGAGGATGGCGGGAGAGGGAGGGGGGACGATGAAAGCAGGCACACTCGTCTGAGCATTGATTATGTATCAAGCTATGGACTAGGACCTGGGAGTCGTCAGAAATAAATCAGGTTTGACCCAGGGACTCCACAGAGTGGACAATTGCATCCCCCTCAGAGGTGCCTCATTCTCCGAGCCCCAGCCACAGTGCTGTGCTGGGTGTGTGTATAGCAGGCATTGTGCTCAGCGAAAAGTGCATACAGCAAGCGCTATGTCCTGCATGGAGCCTATACAGCAGGCATGATGCTCTGTAGTGAACGTATGCAGCAGGTACTGTATCATACAGCAGACACTGCTGTGCAGGGAGTGCATATAGTAGACATTGAACCTTCCAAGGAGTGCCTACAAGAGTCACTGTATCCTGAAGAGAGTGCATGCAGAAATCACTTTACCATGCAAGGAGGGTTTACAGAAGGTACTTTCTACAGGGAACATCTATAGCAGGCATTGTACTCTATCTACAGCAAGTGTATGCAACAGGCGCTGAATCCTGCAGAAAGTGCATACAGCAGGCACTGCACTCTGCATGAGAAACTTAGCACTTGTGGAATCAACAGGTGGGGATGGGACGAAGGTGTGGAGTCCTGGGTCCTTCCTCCAGTCTTTGTCTTCCCTGTGTCTCTGGCCTCCACCTCTGTCCTCTGAACATAAGTCAGCTGGATTCTGTAGATTCCCAGAGGAAGAGGCCCAGAGCTTGGCTCGAAATATCTGGTGCAGGTGGAGGGGGTGGTTGTGAGGTTCAGAGGCCCCGCGTCCAGTGCCGTCTCAGTCCCCCAACCTGTGACCAGGCCTAGACCCTAGCCCAGGTTTTGCTTGAATTTCTTGTAATTATCTCCTAATTCTTTTTTTTTTTTTTTTAATAAAATTTAAATTTTGGAATAATTTTAGATTTACAGAAAATTGCAAAGACAGAAGTTTCTGACTACCCTCTGTCATCAGTAGTATAATGCCCCTTCCCCAAAAAGTACTGATCACAGGATCACAGTTTTGCAAAGGGTGCTGCCTGGCCTCCCATGCTGACCCCTGCCCAGGGTTCACAAAGCTGGGTGTGTGGTCACAGACTGGAGCCCAGGCCCTGTCATCCACCCCCCTAAATCCCTGCACCCCAGGCCACAGCTTCACTTCCCCTCCATTCTGTTTTCTCACTGACCTGAGATAACTCCCCAGACTCAGCAGATTTCCCTGGAGAAGTGCAGGAAGCTTCGCTCAAAATACCTGCTGCAGGTGAGGGGGCAGCTGCTGAGACAGCATTGGGCAGCCAGACTCCCAGAGGTCTCCCTTGGAGGCTTGAGGGGCTAGACTTGAGGGGCTGGGCATGGGGTCAGCCTGGGCACAGTCTTCTTCTCACAGAAGATACCAGGGTGGGACATGAGGGCAGACATGACTCACCCTGGCTCCNATCTTCTCACAGAAGGTGCCAAGGTGACAGAGGGGACTTCACAGATGGATTAAGTTAAGGACCCTGAGACGGGGATGACCCAGAGAGGGTGGTGCTTCTGGAAGGAGCCAACAACAATGGATGCTTGGAGGCTGGGAGAGGCAAGGACAAGGTCTAATCCTGGACCAGTAGAAGCCAAGTTCCCCCACCCACAATGCTGGGCCAGTGTCAAGGCAGTGCCCTGCCGCAGTCATGGGGTTTCTGAAGCACAGAGGCAGGGTTCCCTCCTGCTGGCTTTGCTCATGAGGCCCTGTCCCCAGAGGCTAAGCTCACGAGGACAGGCATGAGGAAGTCCACTGCAGTTCAAAGGACAGGAGACCAGAGAAGTACCTGGAGCCAGGGTGAGTCATGTCTGCCCTCATGTCCCACCCTGGTATCTTCTGTGAGAAGAAGACTGTGCCCAGGCTGACCCCATGCCCAGCCCCTCAAGTCTAGCCCCTCAAGCCTCCAAGGGAGACCTCTGGGAGTCTGGCTGCCCAATGCTGTCTCAGCAGCTGCCCCCTCACCTGCAGCAGGTATTTTGAGCGAAGCTTCCTGCACTTCTCCAGGGAAATCTGCTGAGTCTGGGGAGTTATCTCAGGTCAGTGAGAAAACAGAATGGAGGTAAAGTGAAGATGTGGCCTGGGGTGCAGGGATTCAGGGGGTGGATGACCAGGCCTGGGCTCCAGTCTGTGACATCCACCCAGCTTTGTGGACCCTGGGCAGGGGTCAGCATGGGAGGCCAGGCAGCACCCTTTGCAAAACTGATCCTGTGATCAGTACCTAAACTGCACCTCAGTTTGCTCATCTCTAAAATGGGGGTTTTAGTAAGTCCCCTAAGGTTGTGTTTTTTGGGCAGTAGAGTGGGAAATCTAATGTTTTTCCTCTTCTTATTGTGGCAAAATTCACATAACATAAACTTTACCATCTTAACCATTTTTAAGTACACAGCTCAGAGACATTAAGTTGTGCAACCATGACCACCATCCATCTCCAGAACTTTCTTATTTCCCCAAACTGACACTCTGTCCCATTAAGCACTAACTTCCTCACCTCCCCCTCCCCTAGCCTATCACTGACCATCTACCTTCTGTCTCTGTGAATTTGACTTCTCCAGGGACCTCATATGAGTGGAATCATAGTATTTATCCTGTGTCTGGCTTATTTCACTGAGCATAATGTACTCAAATTTCATCCATATTGTAGCAAGTGTCAGTTTCCTTCCTTTTTAAGGCTGAATATTATTCCAGTGTGTGGATGAACCACAATTTATCCATTTATCCATCACTGGACATTCGAGTTGATTTTTCCTTTTGGCTGTTGTGAATCATGCTGCTGTGAACAGCTATGTTTTTTCATTTTACTCTAGGTTTTTTTATTCTAGAGTTCTAGGGGAGGGAGGTACCTGCTCAGGGAGGTGCAGACTGAGAAGGGGAGATCTCGCCAGCCCCGTGCTGGAGGCTCAACTAGGAAAATCTAGTGAGCAGCCAAGAGGTGGGGGAGACTGGTGTCTGTGCCGAGGGGCCAGCTGACAGGCAGGCTTTGTGGCACCTGGCCAGGAAATCCAGATTCTTTTCTCCACCAGGGAGCTTCTGGGGGTTCAGTGGCCTTAGCCATCTGCTCCAGCATGTGGGCTCTGCCTTCCCTCCCAGGAGGCCCGGGGGGATGGTTTAGAGGGGCAGAGGCTCTGGACCCACTGACCTACACTTTTGGCAGAGCTTGGCCACAGCCCAGTGCCTCTGGTCTTTCATGTGCCTTCCTGAGCCTCAGTTTCCTCCTATGTAACATAAGTCTAAGAATAGCATCTACCTCCAGGACAAGCCACTACCAGGAAGGGGTCCTGGCTTACTCACATTCAACTCTGGAACCCCTCCCCTAGGTTATGTCTGGATGATCTCCTGGCAATTTCTTCAGGAGGGCTGGGTGAGCCTGTCTTGAGCATAGGTTCCCTACACTAAGGGTTTAGTAAATACCTGAATTAGCATGTGGATGGAGGTGTGCTATTGAAAAGGAACCAGCTGTCTGCCCTCATAGATTCCAGGGTGACAGTGACATGACTGCTCAGACCCATGGACACCCCTCCCCCCGCCCCACTGTCCATCTTCTGTCGCACTGCACCTGGTTCCCGTTATCAGAGGACTCAGCTCCCAGGTCACAGCCAGCTGACCCCCTTCACTGTCCTGAAACCCTTTGGACCTGGTGCTGAAGCCACTCCCCAAAAAGGTCCCTGAATCTTGCTCCCTCAAATGCTTGGGGAGCAAGTGCCACAAGACCATGTGACAACTCAGAAGGTGTTTCCTGTCCCTGGTGGCATGGCTGGGCCAGATTCCGAAATCTGGTCTCTGGAAAATTCCTATGTCTGATTTCAGCTACATGGAGCCCTGCTAACCCCTCCCCATTCATTTTGTTATGTAACATTTGGGGATTAATACTGAGGTGGCCAGAGACAGCAGCCCAAATTCAAACCCAGCACTGTCCCTTTTTGGCAGGGTAAGCAACCTAACTTCCCTGGGCCTCAGTGTCCTTACCTGTAAAATGGGAAGAGGCCAGTTCCCATGTCCCAGGATTGGTTTAACAGTGAAAAGAGAGAAGGCAAGGAAAGTGCCTAGAACTGAAGTTGGGCCACAGCTCAGAGATGCTCCCACAGTGTTCAGGGGGGTCGAGCCTACCCACTTGTCCTCCCATCTGACTGCCTCTCCTTGGCAGCCCCTGCTGGGAATCATAAACCCGTTTCCACCTATCGATTTCTAAATCCTGTCAAGTGTCCTTCCTATGACACCTCCCAACTAGGAGCCACTCCCCATTCTGGGTCTCTGCCCCAGGCATCACTTCCCTCCCCACCAGCCTCAGCCCCAGAGATCCTGGGCTTCTTTCTCAGCCTCTGAATCCTGCTGCGTCCCCCAGGGCCCGTGTAATCTAGCCCCTCAGCGTCACCTGCAGAAAAGACCTAGTCACAGGCATTCAGAACGACTAGACTCACTTCTCAAGCGCACTCTGGGGAGAGCCCACCAAGCCCCAGCCCCACGCACCTTTCCCTGGGAGGCCTCCGAGAGAATGACACAATCCCTCTGGGACTTAGTTTCAGGTTCAGCAAAACTGCGTTTTGACAGTTCGCAGCTTGGCGGGAGGCGCAGGATTGAAGGAGCCAGGCTGAGCGAACTGGGTTGGCACGCGGGCGTGAGCGCTGCTCCCGGCGCTGGAACTCTCGCCGGCGGGGCACCCCGCACGCCCACGG